CAAAACCTGAAACCTGAAGCTGAAGCATCTACGGTGTATAGGAAGAATAGATAAGCAGAAGTGAGGGTTTAGGGTTTATACAGCCCAGTCAGGTATGATATCTAAAGCCACAAGGTGCTCAGTGCACAAGGGTTTAGGGTTTAGGGTTTATGCATTCCAGGGTAAAGCACTTGAAGCAGAGAGAGAGAGAGAGAGAGAGAGAGAGAGAAAGAGAAGCAGCGCCTATCAATTAGGGCATGAGGCTTACGAGGGTTTAGGGTTTAGGGTTTTGGGGTGGGGTGCAAACCCTTAAAAAGAAAAAAGCAGCACTAATGGTCTAGGCAGCTTAAACACAAAACCCTAAACCCTAAACGCTAGCTAGCTAGCTGCAGCTAGTCACAAAAAGTAGCAGAGCGAGGCTCCATCGTAGGTGAGGGTTTAGGGTTTGAGGGGCTTCGGGCTTGCGGGGGTTTAGGGTTTAGGGTTTCTTCTTGAAGTGCGGCGCCGCCAGCCGCAAACTATGTAAACCCTAAACCCTCAATACGCCCCCGCTCGAAACCCTAAACCCTCGACAAACCCCAGCGCTAGACCCCTAAACCCTAAACCCTAAACCCCAAATAAATTTCTAGGGTTTGTGCGGCCTCTCCTTTGTTATTTATTCAGACAACGGCCTAAGGTCTAGGGTTTAGGGTTTGCTCGCTTGAGGCTGCTCAGCATCGGCTTCCGTTTTGATGCTGATGAAGGCTTCTAGGGTTTAGGGTTTAGGGTTTGGGGTTTCGCATGCACTACATCACGCATCACCACCCAGAGGTCTGCATAAAAAAACATTTACCTCTAAGGTTTAGGGTTTAGGGTTTAGCGCGTCACCCAGTGGACGCACAATCCCTTAAGAGCGGAACCCTAAACCCTAAACCCTAAACCCTAAACCCCTAATAAACCCCAACACCTTCTAGGCCATTGCTGTTTTGGAGCCCCCTAATCGCGCTTCCCTTCCGAGCTGTCTGCTGCGGCTGCTGCTGCAACTTTTGCTGCTGCTGCTGCTGCTGCTGTAAATGCTGCTGCTCATTTCTCTTGCGCTCGCTGCATCGCTTAGCTGCTGCTGCTGCTGCTGCTGCTGCTGCGCTGCAGTGAGCAGCACTGAGCCGGCTACTCCTGAGGCCCCGCAGCAGCAACTGCTGCAACTGCTGCAGCAGCGGCTGCTGCTGCTACTGCTGCTGCTGCTGTAGCAGCTATCATCTGAGAGCCTTCGTGCCCTGCGAACTATGGGAGAAGACTGCGGTAGATGCTGCTGCTGCTGCTGCTGCTGCAGACTGCTGCAGCAAGGCATCATTTTACGTTTGCTGCTGCAGCTGCTGCTGCCGAAGGGGTCCCATCCGCTGCAGCAGCATCCCTGCATAGGTGCCTCACTAGCCCTGTGCTGCTGCTGCTGCTGCTGCTGCTGCTGCATTTGCTGCTGCTGCTGCTGCTGCTGCTGTGGGTATACCGGGCGTGCAACTGCTAGAGACATGGTGCTGCAGCAAGACAGCTGGCTGCTGCTGCGATCTAATGAGGGGCCCCTCGGAGACAGAGACAGCCACAGATCAACAGGAGGCAGCTGAGGTGCAGCAAGAGAGAATCCCGCAGCAAACAAGCTGCTGCTGCTGCTGCGCCCGCTGCAGTTATAGCTAGGGCGCGGTCGCTGAAACAAAGGGGAGGGACACGGGGACCAAGCCTGCTGCTGCAAATCGTGCTGCTGCTGGCTGCTGCTGCTGCTGCTGCTGATGCTCGGGTGCTGCTGGCTGCTGCTGCGCCTGAAGCAGCGCTGCTGCTGCTTCAGCAGCAAAGGAGGTGAGAAGTCAAAAGGAGGGAAGCAAGAAGGGCACATGTCACATGGTGCTGAGGAAGCACACGTCGTACGTGTGCTGCTGTTGCTGCTGCTGCTGCACTCATGGCTGCTGCTGCTGCTCCTGCTGCACTCATGGCTGCTGCTGCACTCATGGCTGCTGCTGCTGCTGCTGCTGCACTCATGGCTGCTGCTGCTCCTGGTGCTGCACTCATGGCTGCTGCTGCTGCTGCTCTTGCTGCACTCATGGCTGCTGCCGCTGCATTCACGGCTGCTGCTGCTGCTGCTACTGCATTCATGGCTGCTGCTGCTGCTGCTGCTGCTTTGAGCTGCTCCATCACCGTCATCACACGATGCTGCAGCGGCGCTGCTCATCTCTTCCCTGCTGCTGCTGCTGCTGCTGCTGGAGGTGCTGTGCTTGCCCGAGTCTTGCTCAGTTTTGCTGCTGCTGCTGCTGCTGCACTGGTTAGCGGCTCTTGCTCCTTGTGGCTGTTCGGCGCCGCCCAATGAAACATCTCTGCATGAAAAAGAAGGATCTGTTGTTGCTGCTGCTGCTGCTTCCTGTTGCCCAGCTGCTGCTGCTTTCTGGGGTGTTGCTGCTGCTGAAGCTGCCGCTTCCTGGGGTGCAGCAGCAGCAGCAGCAGCTGCTGCTGCTGCTGCAGCACGCCTGGTTTGCCTCATGTGGGTAACACTTGCGCTGCTGCTGCTGCTGCTGTTGCACTTGCGTCTTCTGCTGCTGCTGCTACATGCGTCTAAGCTGCTCGTGCTGCTGCTGCTGCTGCATAATTGAGAGGTGACGGCTGGCTGCCTTTGAAGCCTTCCCTTCTGTGGTGTATCCGCAATAGCAGGCGCTGCTGCTGCTGCTGCTGTTGCTGCAGATCGCATGCAGCGTACTCGCTTGCTGCGGCCGCTGCTTCCTGCTGCAACTGCTGCTGCACTTCCGGTTGCTGCTGCTGCTGCTGCAGCTTGGCTACTTTCACCGGTGCTGAGGCCTGATGCACCCGCAGCTGACGCTGCCGTTTGTTTGGGGCTTTCGATGTCTTTGCTGCTATTGCTGCTGCTGCTGCCGTTGCTGCTGTTGCTGCTGTTGCTGCTGCGGTTTCTGCGACTGCAGCTGCACGGCGCATTCTCCTTCTCTTCCTCCGGCTTCAGCCCCATCCCTCTGCTGCTGCTGCTGCTGCTGCTGTCGATGTGGCGCCGGTGGCCTGTGCTGCGGCTGCTGCTTGTGCTGCTGCTGCTGCTGCTGTTGCAGTTGCTGCTGCTGCTGCTGCTACTGTTGCTGCTGCTGCGCCGGCCGCCTCCGGTGTATCGCCGCTGCTGATACAAAAGTGATTTAAAATCTGCTGATTGTGAAAGTACGCTACGCCTGGGGTGTATATACACGCCAGTTCATTTGTGAAATCGCTGCTGCTGCTGCTGCTGGCGCTGCTGCTGCTGCTGCTGCTGCTGTGAGTGTACTGTGGGAGTTCGCTCTGCTGCAGCTAAATTGAAACTGAAAACACGAAAACAAAACGAGAAATTTAAATCTGCTGTCAGACACTTGAGGCTACAACCACACACTGCAGCAGCAGCAGCAGCAGCAGCAGCAGCCGAATCCCTGCTCTCTCTCAGCCCCCTGTTTATTTGTCTGTCTTTGTGTGGCGGTCGTAGGGGGTTATTTGCTGCGTCATTTTGAGCAGAGTACAACAAAAAGAATTAATTAAAATAAATATATAATTTTAAATTTAAATAAAAGAAACAAATACAAAAAAATCAGAAGTTGTGCTGCTACTTGATGCAAGGGGACCCCCATACACACACCTACAGCAGCAGCAGCAGCAGCAGCAGCAGCAGCAGCAGCAGCAGTAGCAGCAACCTTGTCTGTCTCTCGGCTTGCTGCATCTGTTGTCTTTGTTTATTTATTTTTCTTTTTGTATTTATTAGTGTCTATTGCTTCATTTAAGCTCCTTCAAACAAATAAATAATAAAACTTGTGTGCCTCTTATGTCCTGTGTCTGCTGATTGTTGACTCCTCTCCTGCTGCAAAAACTGAAAAGAATTAAAACAAAGGAAATATAAATTAAATAATAATTTTAAATTAATTTTAAATAGCAACATAAACACCGCTTCCATCATCAGGCGGGCTGCTGATGGGGGGTTGTAATGTATATATATATATATATATATATA